ATATTTTCCCTATAAAAGAGAAGTGATTTTTTTCGCTCGCTCGCTACGCTCGCTAGCTCGTGGAATTATGTGCCCACCACTAACCTGCTACAATATCATTAAAAAGAGAAATGTAGGGGGTTGCCTGCCCGCCAAAATGGGATTGACATTGCCTTAAACACGATTGTGCCCGCCCCCTACCTGCAACAATGAAACAAATTTTATATAGCAATTCATTGAGAGAAAGATGTATTTTGGCTCGCTAGCTAAAATGGGTATGAAATCACCCTAAACACAATATTGTTCCCGCGCCCTGCATGGGACAATTGAACCAAGTTTAAGTGGCAATTATTAAAAAAGAAGTGATATTTTTCTTGCTCGCTACGCTCGTTTGCAAAAAAATGAAATTAACGTCGCTAACAAGTGAATGTTCCCACCCCCAACTTGCAACAATACCAGTTTATATACCAAACGTTACTTAAAGATTTTTTTTGCTCGCTCGCTCGCCAGAACTGAAAATTAGCATCGCCTTTTTTGTTTGTTTCGGTCGCTTGCCCCCCCTGACGGAGTACCCCAGGTACGCCACTGATGTAGATGGTTGTAGTTTTCACAAAAATAATTAACAATTTGCAGTGAATGATGTAGAGAGCAAACACAAGAAACTTTATTCTGGTTTGCTTTCACTGAGTTTGGAAGAATAAGACTTTATTAATAATAATAATATACCATACTTATATAGCACATATCACAATATGTCTCTATGCGCTGTAAGAAAGAGTAAGAAGGAAATGTGGATAGAGTAATATAAGAAGATTGAAGTTTGCTCAACATATTTCCTTGCGTTAACATTGGAAAGTATTTTTGAAAAGAAATGTTTTAAGACTTGCCTTAAAGTTGTCAACAGTACCACAGTTATTATGTAGAGGTGTTGTGGTCGAGTGGATATGTCACCAGACTGTTGGTGACAAGGTCCGCGGTTCAAGTCGTGTCGCGGCACTAATGTCCTATAGCAAGACATTAAACTACATTTGCCACACTCGACTCAGGTGAGGTAATGGGTACCTGGTAGGATTATTCCTTGTAATGCATTGTGTGGTGATAATGGCTGCTGAAGCTAAAGCTAGGGTGAGAATTTCCAAAAGCTCTTTGCGCTATACAAGAACTGAATATAATTTTTATTATTTGCAGAAAAGTTATAATTTCAGGACAGTGTTAAATGGAACAGCATTCAATTTACGTCTGATGATCATTCCAATGTGCATGACTGCGCTGATAGAAAACAGCTAGGGTTATTCATATTTTACGTGATCTTAATCGTAAATGATTATTTAATGTCATTCTTTAATCCATCAATATAATTTATTTCCGCTTTGGAGTCTTAACATATCTTTGGTTCCTTTCTCTGTTTGTATAGATTAATGAGGATGGGCTAAAGGGTCTTCTAGAACAGGTCAACGTAAAGATGGGTCATTCAACCAAGGTCAAGGTCAGTCTTTCATCACATTCGTTTAAAAAAAAAAAGTTCCTTTGACTTGTATTTGAAGGACTAGGGGAAGGGTGCACTGGACGCTGTTGCATGTCCTGCGCCTGTAATCCAGCTAACAGTGGAAGTAAGAAACTGATTCAGCCGAGGACGCAGGTTTGAAAATGAGTCACATCTTTTGGATGGTGATGTAAATAATCATATCTGATTGATACATGTCTGTAAAAACATAATTACACACACACACACACACACACACACATCACATCCCCTGTATTTTTTCTGTATTTGTGGAAACATTTTGTTTTCTTCAGCCACGTGAAGTGATGGCTCTACAGCCTTCAACATCTCTGTTTATTTGAAATTATATAATTAAACCCTCACGTACAGCGCCTTGACAAAAACTGCTGCACAAGCATGGCCAGAACAGAGATTCCTAATAGGTTTATGAAATAATGAAGATTAATCATTAATATTTAATGAGTTATTATTTCAAAACCATGTGAGATGTAAATATGACATTTCTATTTGTGTGCATATTTGCAGAACTTAAAAAATCAAATTTTTACAGAAAGTCATTTCTTTGGATGAACTAATGTTGCTTCGGAAATATTTTGCACAATGATGCATCTGATCAAATAAATATATATATTTTTTACCTCTTACCTTATACAGTTTGAAAGGAGGTATGCAATGGATTCAGATGATGACGATGACTATTAGCTGCATTCTTGAATTATCTTTGAAAGAAGTCCTGCATTATAACAAGTGTACTTTCTTTGCTCGAGGAACCATCTACAGTCAGAAAGAGTGAAATGTTTGACTTGACCGATCAGCCTTTTTGAAAGCTTTGAAAACGAAATGGATCATATGCTGCACAACCACAAGGGCACTGGTCTGTATAATGATGGAGGTGGTAAACATACTCCAGAAGATATTATCTCTCGTGTTAACAGTATTTCGTATCAATCAAAAGCCAATAAAAATCCAGGGAGATGGAGATTTTCTTCAGCATCTTAAATCCGAAATCATGTTTTCTCTTTAGCTTATTGAAATTTTCTTTTTCATGTCAATATGCATGTTATAGGAAAATGAAATCACCCATGAGTTTTTTAATGCTCATTTTGTTGTGAGACATACATGTAGATAATATACTTTCTCACATTCTTTCAAAGGATAATATTTTCCCATACAAACCTTGAGCCACTGGTGTAAATTGAAAAGGAAGTTTTTAAATTTCTGAAGCATAACGTTTCTGTTTCCCTGACTTAAAAGCAATCCATGGTGGTTATGAAGATATCATCAGTAGTGTTTGACCATAAGGCTGTTTAATTGTAGAAGACACAACTACCCCCACAAGTTCAATGGATGTCAAGTAGATGACCCGAGTGGCTATAAATTATTTTCAAGCCCTATGGAGTTGAAATGTGCATTTTTCCATTTCTGATACATATTCCCACTTTCTTTTGTTATAATGAATATTAATGTCAACTATAGAATATGAAGAGTGTTCTGTATTAGTTACCATTTTTTATTTTTTTTATTTTTTTTTATACTGCATTGTATTATAATGTCAAGTTCTTGTGTAGAAAGGAATGCTCCTTAATTTCCCCTTAGCCTTCAGTTTTATGACCAATAAGCCTTATGTAATGCTTTGCATTCTCCACCCATTTCCCCATATGGTAAAGTTACAATCTTACGTTTCCCTCACCCAAAGACTCTCCGAGAGCTTAGGGGGTATTTCTTGATAGGCCTTAAGGTTTGCTGTGTTAATGGTATTTCTACCAAGTCTGGTGTCAGTAAATTATGGCCATCTGCACATGGGAGCTGACAATAATAATGATAATAATATTTAGCTTTTATATAGCGCTTTAATAATACAATGTCTCTAAGCGCTTTACAAATATACTATTACCCCGGTTATTGGATTCAGTGCTTGCCCTTTGAGATAAGTATATTATCAGTTTATGAATTACTTAAAGATTGGTATAAAGGTCTGTGGTGAAAGCAAAAGATGGTACAAGATTAACAATTGTACATTTTCATTTATAATGAAGTCATCTTATGTACTGGTATGCAATGGAATCTTTTATAGAAGACCATCTAGGGATGGTATTCTGAAAACTGTTACATTTTAGGTATGTTCATTGTCATAAAGAAACAAAATTGCGCAGAATGATCATTTCCTGGTGCTTTTGCATATATATGTCTCTCTGAAGTGTATATGGTTGCAGAAATTAGCCAATTAATTTACCAGATTGAGATTTGTTTTGACAATTAACATATCTCTCACTTTAATACGTCAAGGATAACAGTTTTCAGAATTTCACCGCCTATTTATGTATGTGTATATATCTGTGTGTAACTAATGTATTATGATAGAAAGAAATCGTAAAATTAGCAAAATTTCATTTTCTAATATTTTGCGATGCATTGAATGCAATAACAGTTATAAAATTTAAATCGCCACAAAGAGGTACAATGAATAAAGATTTCTATGTTCATGTATTTTGTGATATAATAGTAGTAATCAGTTTTAGAATTCCGCTCTATACGACAAAACATAAGCTCTACTTAAAAATATTTGCAGAAGCTGCATTGACGGCCCTTTTTAATACATCTACATTATCCATGTGTTTGAGAAAACTAATTTTTATATTTTTTGTCCCGTTATTTATGGGACATCTGACACAATAGTCACCCATAAAAGTTATTTGTGATTCTTTTTTATAGAAATCTATATGGAAATTGGGTCAAGCTTTTTAATGATGTGATAACCTTAAAATATTTCTAAGTAATCAATAGGTCAAAACAACCGCTTAATATTTTATCTGTTTTTCATCTTAAAGATATGAAGAGTGTAACTTATTGAACTGCTTGATATTATATAATTTCAAAAGTATCTTCTTCGACATAAGCAAAGACTGTATTTAAACACATTTTGTAATGCTATGTGTGTCTGTTGCATTAGTATTATTGCCATATTTTCATGGCATTTTTTTTTGTTGTTGTGTGGAGTGTACATTAAATCATTTACATCACGAACAAAGCTTGAAATTTTTTATTTGTAAGTTGTATGATCACTAAATTTTGATGAGAGAGGGAGAGAGAGGGAGGGAGAAAGAGAAAAAGGAAACAAAATAGAGAGAAAGCGAGTAGGTAGATGGGCAGACAAAATAAGGAGGGGGTTGATGAAAGTCAAGGATAAAAAAAGAGTTCTATGAGATAATGCAGTTCTTACGAGGACTTCCGAAAGTTTTTTTTATGCATTAAAATGTGACGTGTGTGTTTCTCCATGAAGCGTACAAGGATTTGTTCTTGCTTTTCATTATCAATTCTTCTTGCTCTTTCTCGTTCACTCACTTTCTCTCTCTCTCTGTCACTCTCCTCAGCATTCTTTCTTTCCTCGCTCTACTCTCACCTCTTTTCCACATGAAAGTAGTCTACTTCTAATCCTATTTCTAATGTTGCTGGTCACTGGAGCATGTGACATATTTTATTAGGAAATACCAAAGCATGAAGTACGAAACAAAGAATATTAATGTGAACCATGTCATGCAGATCTTTTAATATATTTTCTTTCTTTCATAGAATTTCATTCAAAATTACATTTCATCATGAAGAAGGAGTAATACTCAAGATAGCAAACACCATAAATATGAAATATTAATGGAGCATCCATGTACTTACAGATAGGATGGAATGAAATGTATTGCCTCGACGATATGGAATCTTACAGCCAAATAATGCACAATAATTCACAACACCATGAGAAATGAAAATTTGAAATTCATGTGTGTTTTTTTTTTTTTAAATAAGGCAACATGAATCTTCTTAAAATGTCAACCAGTAAACAACACTGAAGTGCTGAAGTTTGTAAGCATACTATAGGGTGTATTTGTAGACAGATAGCAGAAGGAAAGTCTCCTTCCGTTCTCGTGTACAGCTTATCTTCTACAGCATTCACACTTTCTATTTATTACAGTATAATGTAAAGATGAAACAAATATCATGTAGTGATCAATAAAATACAAGGCACTTGGTACGGAATCATTCTAATGATGAGTGTTTACTCAAGGAATGTTGGTAAAATTGGCACTTGAAATGACAGGAAAAATGGGCAACTAATGGACAATAAAGAATTGCCATTCTTTCCTCTCTAAACGCATAAAAAAGCAAAATAATCTATTCCCATTTCAAACATTAATTGTTTTAAACAATACCAGTGTTCACACAAGGCAAGGAAAAATTAGGACTACCGCTACCTACATAAAAGCTACATTAAGGAAACAACTAAAGGCACCAAGTTTGTGACATTAGTAAACTAAAAACTTCCAATTAATTCTTCCTCTGTATTAAAATCACATTCCACAAATATCGGCTCAGAGAACTTATAAACCACACTTTCACTATACAGTCCCCTTCATATAAAGTCAATTCAGAAATGGAAATACATCCACATTAATATGGTCCTTTTCACAAGTTTTGCTGTTGTTTGGAGATAATAATGTGGTCATTGTTTGCTTACAAATTCAGCCTAGATGTCCAATTCAATTTACAAGTTCTATTGGAGTTAGAAAGCAGTGGCTGCTATAGTATAGGCAAGTGATGATCACACACAAGTGGAAACTATATCACATTTGACTGAAACTGAGCAATACATTCCATGTATATGTAACTATATATAAATCATACTTTGTCATATACACTGTGAATATCTGAGAAAAAAAAACTTTAATAATTGAGATTTTTGTGTCAAAGTTTAAATCCACACCTTCAATAACAACAATACTCAATAATAACAATATTGGTAGGGTGAGAACTATTTTATAGATATGCTCTATTATGCATGCACAAGATAAATAATTCAATATGATTTTGATACAAGAGGTGTCCTACACTTTACAAAATGGACATATGAAGAAAGGCACATGAACATGATATAAATCTAAAAACTAAAGCGGCATGAAACTTTGTGAATCTGAACTACTTGTGAAATTGGCAAACAAATAAATGCCCACAGAACTTTTTGGTTTTACAGTATAAGGCAAGGAAATAAGCCAGTTTTATTGCTCTAAGACATACATCGCCATCCTAACAGAATAAGTCTGAATAGATTTACTGACAAATGCCCTCAAAGTAAACCCTGTCCAGTATGTCAATGTTGTGTATATAAAAAGTAGTTTTTTTTGCATAGCTGTCTTATGCCTGACTGACATGGCAACAAGAACCTTTCAAACTTCTGTAACATCATCATGTCTAAGCTTTGATAATTATTTTCTCTTTATTTTGTCAATGCATAAAACCAAAATTGGTTTAATGCTCCATTGTAAAATCATGTAAATAGTAGAGATAATTCTTTTTGTCAGTTGTAACTCTTGCTTTCACTAGTTTCTCGAAAAATATAATTTTTGACACTTTCATGTCTATGTTTATTATTATAAAATAAGTTTGTTTGCTGTCAACTGTATTTTTCTCTGACCCAATTAAGAAATAAAAATTGTTGTCCTTGTCATTATCAATAATTGTCATTGTCACATATATTTCTATGGAATGTGCATAAATTTAGACTGATGACGACTTTGATGGAGAGACTCTGCTACTTATACTTGGCACGGTTTGGATACTTAAATGTTTGCAAACCTAATGATGTACCGGTAAGCTGTGTTTCTCCCATCATTCTTTATGTTCCTTCTTATCCTTCTCCTCTTCATATGAAACTCCATACTCATTGGCTCGAGTCTTGTCAACAGGGTACAACCTGTGTGATTCAATCAAAGAATTATTTATATCAATAGTTATTCGGTCTGGGAGAAATAATAATAATAATCTTCATTAGTAAAGACGTCTGCTGTCATAAAAGAAGCAGCCAGAGTTGAAATATAATCTGAATAAAGATTTCACCTTTAATAATCACAGGCTTACCATTTCACAGAATGAGTCATGAACTGCAATAAAGAAACAATCACATGTATTCTAAGCACAGAAAAAGTGTTAATCTTTTTGTAAAATATCCATGGAAACCTAGGTAAATCATCTAAATTTACATTTTGCTGATCCTTAAATGATAATTTAGTCCAACATTGTACAAGTTTAATGGAAAGTTTCATAATGGTAATTTAGGTATTGCAGTCAAGTAATTGTCACTTTGCAAACTGGGCAGAATTAATGCAAAATCAGCTTAGAACACACACTTATAACCATGTTCGTCATCAAAGTATACAGATAGCAAAAAGCAAATAATGATAGAAAGAAAATGCCACATGTACTCACCATCTTTGGTAGAGGTAAATAACAAATACAATATCGTCACGGAAACATGCAACTCTATGGGCTGTCGGCATGGTGATGATGAATGCAAACACGTCATCAATAAATGTGTTGAAGGCCTGTTGGAAGATGCATTTTGAAAATTAAGAGAACAAAGGCTGACAAACATGAACTTCCCTTCAGGAACACTTTATCTTTAATAAATCCCATCTGGGCATAAACGGGCAGGTCCAAGCTATTTGGATTGTGACGTACGGGACATTTAGAGACTTTAAACAAGAAATAACAACAGATGAAATTATTTATATGGCTATCTTTTGGTATGAGTCTGTGGCTATTATGGGCTAGTTCATTTGTGGAAAGTTTTAGTTCTGACCAATTTTTTAATTAATTTTTAATGTAATTAATGTGCTGCGTGACGTACGGGACCACAGCGTCCCGTACGTCACGCAGCACATTAATTACATTAAAAATTAATTAAAAAATTGGTCAGAACTAAAACTTTCCACAAATGAACTAGCCCATAATAGCCACAGACTCATACCAAAAGATAGCCATATAAATAATTTCATCTGTTGTTATTTCTTGTTTAACCCTTACTGTACTGGGCTATTTTGAACAGCCTCTGACTGGGGGGGGCCTGGGAGGCCCCCCCCTATGATCTCGGCCGTCGATTGTCCGATGAACACGAAAATTTGCATGTTTGTAGATATTTACGTAAGGAACAAGATGGTATAATAAGTTTTTTCCGAATATGCAAATTTTTGTTGTTAGCCTAATTAATTATGCAAAATGCGCTAATTTTATGCATTTTACAGAAAACGTGTCAAACTCCACTTTTTGAATGTTGAAACTCATTATTCATATGAAACTTCTTTTCTAACACAAAAAAGTTATTTTAATGTAATAAATAATGATAATTTATGCAAATTTTGATGCGATTTTTAATTTTTAATTTTTTTTTTGATGACATGCGCATACTAATTGTTATGTAACGCCTTACAGGTATATCCGATTTCGACGAAAATGGTATCAAAGTGTGCGTAAGACTTGAGGGAAAAAAGTCATGAAACGACAATTCAAAATTCCAAGCGGTTGCGGCGCAATCTCCGAAAATGTCGAGGGGGGGGCCTCCCAGGCCCCCCCCCCAGTACAGTAAGGGTTAAAGTCTCTAAATGTCCCGTACGTCACAATCCAAATAGCTTGGACCTGCCCAAACACGCATCAACTATATCATCATCATCATCGTGATAATTTAACATATGTTTTTCCCACGCTGTGGGGTTGGACGTTTTATTTCCTTAATGGCCCCTCCCCAAGTTTTTTTGTCTTTGGCATCCAACTGGGTGAGACCATATACTCTCTCATCTTCTTGTAGTGTTTCCTTCCACATTTTGCAAGGTCCTCCATAGGGTTTAAGCTGGTCATTGAGAAATTACATTATAATATCATATTCCCTGACCAAAAATCTAAAGTTAAATATAGGTGGAATGTTAGTAAAAATTTACCATTTGCAAACATAGAGTAGAATCAATATTTCCATTCTATTGATTCAGCAAGGCTATCATACCTGCCTTAGGCCCAACATTCAACAATTTCTTAAAATATAAAGTGTTTTGCATTTATAATAAAGGTCTGATTACGATGTAACCATACTACCGTTAACTGTATGGTTAAATTGTAATCAGACATTTGTTTTGATACAAGGTACTAATTACAAGCTATGCTTTCCAAGGTTACCTCCGCAACACAGCAAGCAATTATCTTCTTAGTCTCAAACTCTCAATTGTATACTTTTACTGCATTGCATGTACCATATTTGTGTATATTTTTTGTTTGTTTATATTCTAATTGGAATGACTTTGTAAAACTAAAAGCTTTGTAAATTTAATTTGCTGTTATTGTAAAAATAAATGAAATGAAAAATATAACTACTGGTTTAAACAAGAGAGGTAGGAGGGACTTACCTTATACATGAAAGCTCTCCAGGGTAGATGTGCTACTGACTTCAACTGTAAAAACAATCAAGAACAACTCCGGTAAGTAAATATATATTTTTTTAAATCCATAATGTGATAATCCTTAAAATGGCTGTTGGTTTGCCCATGAAAGGGCAATTAATTAGAGAACCAGAGAGGGGAAATTCAGAATACTAATCAGACATATGAGTTTAAAAAATGATGAATTAGTAAACATCAATTTCACTATATTTGTGAGAAGTTTGACAATGATATCAACAGAATCTATAATAAACTTCTTTTACAGAGTTTGTTGTTGTATATTAATGAAATTAATTGTCTAAGACATGGTAAAAATTAGTTTTTAAAATGAGTGCACATACTTATTTTCTTTTGAATATTGGTCTTGAAACTAATATTTGAAACTAAGTTGATTTTAAGGATAAAATGTACAAGTTTACCTTATAATTGACAAAGAGCTGAGGCAACATAAACAGGAAACCAAATGCATAGACTCCATTCACCAGGCTGTTAATAAGCCATGACCACCAGCTGCAAAAATAACAAGAATCACAATACACAATAGTGTCATTATCAGAAGTATCCCAATATGATGATCATGATACTATTGAAAATTCTCTTCACTCGTGGCAAATACGTGAATGTGTAAGAATACCTGAATGCCATTGTACACCACATTCTTTAAGAGAGAGAGTAAGTGTGAACTCTGTCATTATCTGGTTACTTTATCACTTGACATAAATGCAAAATAATGCTAAAACTATGATGGATTTAACGTAGGTAGATTTATAAAAGTTTAATAATGTGTCCTAGTTCAGCTTAAAGTTTTAAAATATCTGGAAATTCTTAGAAATATCTTTACTTGTTCCGCGTTGACGGAGTCAAAGCTTTCACAGAAGGAGACTCTAGTAAATTTGGGCAGAACACATGATGAAACTAGATGGAACTTCGACTGCGCGCAGTCGAAAATGATGCCTCCGTCATAAAGCAATTTTACAAACCAAAACAGAAGAATTTTATGAAATTCAAGTTCAATTGTAATCCATTAACAGGTTCTCAGAATATCGTGATTACAAGCAATTTCTCATATACATATATGACCCTTTGATCTTTGACCTCATGACCCAAAATCTACTCAGTTCATTGGCTCTGCAAGATGTCCTGAGTTAAATAGTAATCCATCTGTCAGTTCTAATGAGAATGCGTTCACATGCTATTTTTGCATACATAATGAGCCCATGACCTTTGACCTTTGACCTTATGAACCAAGAATCTACTCAGTTTATTGGCCCTGCAAGATACATAAATGAAGTTTGGCAGGAATCCATCAATCTCTTCTAATGAGAATGCGTTCACAAGCTATTTTTGCATACATAATGAGCCCATGACCTTTGACCTCGTGACCCCAAAATCTAATCAGTTCATCGGCTCTGCAAGTAACGTACATGACCTAAGTTTGGCAGGAATCCATCAATCGGTTCTTGAGATAACGCGATCATGAGCTGTTTTAGCATACATAATGAGCCCTGTGACCTTTGACCTCGTGACCCCAAAATCTAATCAGTTCATTGGCTCTGCAAGATACATACATGACCAAAGTTTGGCAGGAATCCATCAATCGGTTCTTGAGATAACGCGATCACGAGCTGTTTTTGCATACATAATGAGCCCTGTGATCTTTGGCCTTTGACCTCGTGACCCCAAAATCTAATCAGTTTATTGGCTCTGCAAGATACATACATGACCAAAGTTTGGCAGGAATCCATCAATCGGTTCTTCAGATAACGCGATCACGAGAACGGGACGTACGTACGTACGTACGTACAGACGGACAACCCGAAAACATAATGCCTCCGGCTACTTCGTAACGGAGGCATAAAAAAAGAAAGTCAGATTAAGTGAGGAGTTCTTTGTTAAAACTCTTCAAAACAATGGCCCTCTTTTCAGAATCTCACCTTTTATGAGGGACGTATACAAGAGAGTAGATAGCTCCTAATGCACACAGAGGATAGAGCAGATACGAGAGGTACTTCATAGCTGTGGTATCAAACTCGGCTGTTGCTTTCTCTGAATCTGTAGCTGAACCAAACGTTAAGGTTGGTCTCCAGCCTTCAAAGGATATGCTGACCTTGAATGCTTTCTTCACTTTCCACACCTAAAATGTGATAAAACACAAAAGGAAGATTAATGATACCAATACTGGTAGTTACTTAAAGAGTTTCCCCAAATGCTAAATTGATGCATGTGTTAAAGACTATTCACTTTATCCCCAATCAAAATGGTTTCATCATTTACAATTTTTTAAAAATAGGTTTCCATCCAATCAATGTCACTATGAACGCTTGGCTGCCACAAGTGAGTTTTCCCTGTGGTAACTTTTCTGACATCTCTTGCGTCGAACTCCGACAGTCAAAAGGATCGATAGGCCACACTTTCACGGTCTGTAATCGTACTGAAAATCATGGCTTAGAATTCCACAGGTCAATAGTTCGAGTTATCAGAATTGTATTAGGGAAATTCAAATTTCAGTTTGATTGTTTAAATTATGTGATTTCAACTAGGTTTATGTTAAATTTCTTCACAAGAGTAGAAATATCCCATTCTCCACTTAATTATCAACCTCTTCCATGCCATGAGCATCAGAAACCCACACAAGAATATACGGGCTCATGTACAGCTATGGTAGTTCTTTCTTATTGATGCAGAAAAAAGGTACTTGTACTGAAAGGTTGCTATATCACAGACAGTTTATGCCCAAATTAAATAGGTACCAGTAGTCAAAAATAAAATAAAATTTTGGATCATCAAAGATTACTTCATAATTGTTTGTACACCTAGTGGCTTGCATGAGGTAAAATTCCGACTGGAGCTAGAAACTAACATTGATTTTGCCATCACATTATATTTGCGATTGGAGAGAGAGAGGGGTGTATCTTACCTCAATAAGAGCTCCTATCCCACAAGGCACTGTTATTAAGAGACTGGTATTCTGGTCCAGTAGATAGAAAAAGACGATGATCTGACTCACACACCGCCACGTGACTGGTGATGAAAGAAATACAACAAAGAGATTGGTACCAAGGACTCAACCATTCATGATTAACATTTTCCCATTTAAGATTGTTAATGACAATGAAATACAGAGCATGAAGCAGAGTGTAAATGTTCTGTACACTTGATATTAATTATGATGATAATCGCATTTGAATAGTGCTTAATACTACCCGAACATTTCTTTGGCAAGGCATTAATGAATGGTGGGTGAAGCCGATGACTGGGATAATAATCTCTATAAAGCGCTTATAGACGGTATTCTATTATTATTGTTATTATTATCATCGGCCAAGTCATTGGATTTGATTGCTTTGATGCATATTATAGTATATGTTCTCAATTCCTGTGTACAGCATTTTAGCCAGGTGCTATTTTACACTAGCGTTCGCAAGCTAACCCAACAGTACTGAAGTCCACATAAAACAAACAAACAAACATCAAAGCTACATAAGGAAACAAGAAACCAGATACAGAGAAAGAATTTGACTAATTTGAATAATAGGGTACATTAATAGACAGACAAAATATTATAACCCTGTTGTATTAAATAAAATATATTATGGAGGCCAATATACCAAATTGCTTATACTGCAGTCTAAAAAATGTTACAATATATAGCAAGAATAATTCAGAAATCTTATTCACCCTCTTACCTGTTCTAATAGAAAGGCCAACCATACTATTTCTTGCTTTCCAGTATGCAATGTCATTTTTGAAGGCTAAGAAATCAAAGAGGAGCTGAGAAGAAACAAAAGATGACCAGGAAGCATGAACAAATTAATATTAGTTTAATAGCAAGTTTAGATTTGCACTGTAGACATCATACTTTTCCTTTTTAAAACTCACAATTGTTTGCCATTAATGTTACAAATATGAATGATTTCCTTTAAATACTGCTATTAGAATGACTTCTAAGCATCAATGAATAAATAGATTAATCAATTGAATAAAGATAGTTTAATAAATGAAGAATCATTCATATACAAAGAGAGTGATTAGTTACAATTAGTTTTTTGAATATTAGCCTCATTTTACATTTTGCAGGCTGCCATGCTCATACTGGAATAGACCGGATTACTAACATATTCACATTTTATGCATACTTTTTAAACACAGGTTGTTCTTGACAACCTTGAAAGCTTGTCTGAGGCTCACCGAGCACAGCAACAAGTAATATATACAGACTGGATGGCGAATAATAACAGTTTAATGGAATAACTTGTCACTAGGTCCCCAGGAATGAAACATCCATAAATTTGAATGTATTAGTAAACCGGCCTATTGGAACTTCATCTTTTTGTGAATAAAGAAATAATGTGAGATACTGAGAAAGAAAGGCGTGACTATTGCAGCTATCAGTACTAAATATATTATATACAGTAGGCTTCCGGTTGCACCATGTGAGAGAGAGGGAGGATTGGAGAGTCCTGAAAAGGACTGTTGGTAGTCTTGAAAAAGACTGTTGGTTATCTTTCTTAGATTGTAGAGGATGGTTGGAAGGAGTGGCTCGACATTTCAAACAGGTTGCCTATCCGTCGTCAGGATAGTGTATATGTATTTTTCATAAATAATATTTATTTTTATGTCTGTGAATAAAGAGATAATCAATGATACTCACATGAAAGAAGGACACAAATATTGTTGCACTGAGTAGTACTATATTTATGTCAGTGAATATTGACATAACCTCCTCTGTATCCTTCTCCTTGAAACCTGGGAAAGAAAGTAAAAAAAAATGAAAAGCATAAGTGAAAGAGGTATATATGGACAAAGAGACAAAACAAAGAGTGAGAGAGAAAAAGATGAATAAGTCAGACAGATTGACAGAAAAAAAGTAAGTTCCCACATGGAAAGAGGCAACAAATACAAACGAAAGAAGGAGACAAAAATATAATGTCAGACAGGAAGAAAATGTTTTTTTCACAAAGATGGAAAAGAGACAAAGGAGAAAGTGAAAATAAACTAATAAAGAGATAGAAAGTGAGACAGAAAGAGATGTCCAGATAGATGGAATGTGACTAAGGATACAGAGACAAAACTGAAAGACATATACAGTGATAGACAGAAAGAAGATAATTTGAGGCAAGAGAGAGCTATACAGAATAGATAGACAAGAACAAGAAGAATGTGATAATTCAAAATGAAAAAAAGAAAAGAACTGCCACCATTGACAAATACATATTACTCACCTAACTGATACATGGTACTCATGCCTTCTTCAAGACTGCTGAACAATCTTAGTTGACCGATTGACAATGGACTGTACTCTATGGTCAGTGGCATCTCCTTACTGGTGGTATTAATAGGCTGGACATACAATCAAAAGAACCATCAAAGACTTCAAAAGAATGCAGTAAAACCTCATCATTACTATTTGCTTTTATGTAATATTTTTGAAGATTACTTGATATAAAATAAAAATTTATAAATGGATAAGAAGAAATCATTGCAATTTCTAGGGGAAAAAAAAGACCCTCTTCCTCCCCCCCCCCCCACAACAACACACAATTGAATCGAGCATGCACAGATTGTTGAATGTGATAATTTGTATGTCTAGAAAATATTATGTGCACTTGTCAAGTTTCCAGCTTAGCAAGCATAGTTGACTGTATTATTCATCTACCACCTTATTTAAAATAAAAGATTATATAAAACGCTGTTTTCCATAATAAGCATAATGACCAATGACTTACCTGAAGATCTCTCAGCTTTTGAGCCATCTCATGTAAGTACAGGATAGGCAGGTAATCCCCTTTAGGTGTCAATCTGAAAATACATACAATTAATTCACAATGTCATATTTCCAACAGATAAATATGCTTACCATGTAAGTTGACTTAGTTTGGGATGTCTATGTCACACACAAAAAACATGATATATACAATTTCTGGACAAACACCTATTCTTAAAATATTTGACGAAATAACTTCAGCTGATTCTCAACGAAAATCAAGGTAAGTTACTACTGTGCTAAACACCAGTGAGGGGAGCTTTTAAACAGACTTCTACAAGTAATTTGGTCAAACTGTAGATATTGATATGTTTCTAATTTAATGCATATTTAAAATTTACTGTGTATACTTCACACCTTGAAATCAAATATACCTATAAGTAAATTTTCAAAGTACTATTGTAAAGTGAAAGTACCTGATGTGTTTGTAGATATCCGCTGGAACCTCCATCCTATGGAAGACAAACGGCTCCTCCAGAACCCTGAGGTGTAGTTTAGGTTTCCAGTGTGATATGGGTATGATGGCAACTTGCTCAGAATCATCCTGCCAAGAATTAAACACATTAAATACATTTCATATGATTAATGCCATCAAAAAATGGTAAAGTAAGAGATGGATACATAGTTTCCATAATGAAGTTTTGTAAGATAGCATTAAATGTCATTAAAATAAACATTTTTAAAATACAAATTTACATACTGTAACTTTCTCACGATGGTGTACCAAAAAATTGGTTAAAACATGAATGATATTTTTTCTTCAACATGTGGATGCATTTGAATGTTTACATTCTCAAAGATTAATCAAAAATACTGTCACATGTTCAAGTAACATTTGAATAACTTGATAACCAAAATGCCTTTGTCCCTTTCAAATGGGTGAGACATAGAAACAAATTAATTCAGAGCTTGCCAGTATCTTAATCTTGACTAATGCTACGGTCACAAAGGTTCGTATAAAAAAAATTTTTGTATGAATCTCAGTTTTTCCATTGTCTGAAAAACGTTCGTACGGCGTTCGTAACAGTTCATAATGGCATTTGTGACCGAGGCTTTAATTCTAACCTGAGGTTTGTTGTCTCCCAGTAGATTGAATGCTTCCACCTTAGGAGGAGAGTATTTGGTAAGGGATGAGGTCTGATACGAGGCCATGCTCTGATCTAACCTAGCTGTGCTTGAAGCTTGGAGGTACACATGTATGTACAGTGTGCCATTCTTGCACGTCCTTGCTGGGAGAGAGACATTCACTGTCCTGGACATGGGGAGAAAAAAGAGAAAATTAAGGCAAAATGTGAAAAGCAAAATGAGGGAGAGATGGTGAGAGGGAGAGAGGTAGGGAGAATGGTAGGGAGAATGGTAGGTAAGGAGGGAGGGAGGGAGGGAGGGAGGGAGGGAGGGAGGGAGGGAGGGAGGGAGGAAGGGGTAGGGAGGGAGTGAGGGAGGGACAAAGAGAGGGAGAGAGAGAGGGAGAGAGGGAGGGAAAGAGAGAGGGAGAAAAAGAGAGAGAGAGGGGGAGAGAGAGAAAGAGAGAGAATAAGAGAGAGAATAAGAGAGAGAAGGAGAGAGAATAAGAGAGAAAGAGGAAAAGAGGTAGATAAAAAGGGAGAAGCCATGACAGGAAAAAATTATTAAAAACAAAGGCAAACAGTGACAATGACTGAGAGATAGAGAGAGAGAGAGAGACATAAAGAGAAAGAAAGAGATACAGAGAGAGAGAGAGAGACAGACAGACAGAGAGAGGAGGGGGAGGAGAGGCAGAGATGTCCCATATAGCACACAGCAAATTTCTTGCATTTCACCTAGAATAGCACATTGACAATTCCTTATCATTTTTTTTTCATTTCATTAATTTGATATATGATATAATTAGTGAACCGGAAATTCTTGTAAAATTGATCCTATTAAAAGTATTTTGAAAACTTTGTAAAAAAAATATAATAATTCACCTGAACAGGTACCTACCATGATTGCTCCCCTGATATGTTGAATTTTGGAACATGTAAAATTTCTGTGAGTTGGTGTACTTGAGGAAATCTTGACTTGCTCTGCGATGAAAACAATCTTAGCTGTAAGAAAAGAAAAAACAAAAACAGCAAACAATAGCAGATAAAAGCCAGCTGTGGGTTACTTGGACAGGAATAAGCAAAATAAAAGTTTTACCCTAATTCCATTATACTAATACAAATAAATAACAGTCACTTTATGATAGTTGCTTAGAGCCAAATATAAAATGCTACAAGTGTGGAGGAGCTAGTGATTGCCAGTGTCTTACTCCATTAAAAAAAAGAAAATCTTTATGAAAAAACTATTCTGGTTTATTGTGAATTGTTATAAACCTGAGAAAAAGCCTACAATATCATCTAGGCCTCGTTGCATATAAATTACAATTTATTAATTTGACAGTACCTTTGTCTTTAATGGTAATTTCTATGGAAACATTGATTTGATTGGCTGTTGACTGGTGTTGCCACGTTAGTTGACACTCATGGCAAAGTTACCTTCACTGGTCAGTTTCATGCAACAGGGCCCAGGTGAGAGAGAGAAAAAAGGGGCATAAACTAAATGTTACATTTAGTTTCTTTGAATAGGAGTAAACACTTTTGCAGATCTCAGCAGGAAATTTGTGACAAACTGTGTAATATGAACTGCCCTTTTCTTGAAATATCATGAATGTTAGATTATGAATCCCCTCTTTACTCAAATACACTGGCCATTACTCTTGACCGTAAAGGAATCAATTTCTAACCATCCAATCTACCGAGAAGGTGGAAAGGGGTGTAATTACCTGATAAGGCATATTTCCTTTGTTCCCTTGTTCATGTCGTATAAGACATTTGTTGACACCCTCGTTGACATCGCACTGAGGTGGGTTGAAGAGGTTATACATGGTGTAAACCGTATTGCACAGGTATCCCAGAAAGAGAACGATGAGTACATTGGTGACAAATGAACCAATTGTTGCCATGGTGATGAAAGGTGAATTGTTTGAGTCACTGAAAAGAAATCAAAGGGTTTAATTGCTAACATGGTAAGATGTGAGTTGGTGTAGCTGTACATGTTCATTCACTCGGTCAACCTTCTGACGTCTGTCTTTGCATATATAAACCGACTTGGAATGACTCTGGTTTGATACTAAATCATGCGTTACTTCGGTTGGTTTTAAAGGTTGATCCCCGGAAATAAATCTGATTGATGAATGTCTTTAAAAAACACAATTACACACACAATGCCTTATCTGTACAAACATTGGTGGTCAAAACCTATCTATAGATTTGGTTTTGTTATCTGTAATGTGATATACCGGTAAAAACAAAAACACAGTTTAATGCTTCAAATTCCACAATACTAGAATTGATATCATTCTCAGACTTCACAGATGGCTTTACATGAAGATTGTGCACACCATGAATATGAAGCAGCACTTCGCCAGGATTGACAATACTTGATAGATGTCTGATTTACATTTTCAAAGTAGTTTTTCCTTCATGACATACCCATGGGCCTGTGCGAGATGAATTGCTGAATTGTTGAATTTTCTTGCTGGTAAGTTTTGTAGAGTGAGAATTTTGAGAATCAATAGAGAGTGTCTAAAAAAAATTGTGCACAAAGACAGTATAAATCTACTAATACTCCTATCACAGTATCAGTGATGCATGGTAGATCTAAAAGTTAGGAATATCCTAGAAGAGTACCGGTAATTGAATTTGGAATGATCAATATCACAACTTTTGTTGCTGTTGCCGTTATTCATTCATTGATGATTGATTAGCTTAGTCAGAAACTAAAGCCCCCATCACACCAAACAAGTTCTTACTACGTTCTGGAACCATCCTAGAAAATCGTAAAACGGGTTGTGGTCAGGGCAGAATGTGTAAAAAATGTCTATAATATGATCATAGTTCGTCTGTAGTCTGCCAGTCTGTAGTCAGTTTAAACCCATTATTAACTAGTTCTACCTCGTTCCCATACGTCCAAACCCATTCTAACTAGTTTGCCACTTGTTCTAACTAGTTTTTAACCCGACCACCCTGTTCAGAGGCAGTTTAACTCTTCCTCATCTCGTTCTGAGTGCGTTCGAACGCGCTCCTAGAGCGTGTACAATGCCGTCCTGACTCGGAGTTATAAAAACCCAGAGCGTTCTCGCCATTCCTCATTCCCGTTCAACTTCAACACTTTAGGCTTTGCAGATCAAGACGTTCAAGTCAAGCACCTATCACACCAAACTTGTTCTCACTACGTTCTCGAAAATGTTGCCAAACGGGCTCAAATTGTGTGTGAACGGAGCGAACGTATTAGCAACTATTTACAATCTTTTTAAGGACTTCATGGACGGACTCAGACTGGCTTGGGCGGGAAGGGTGGTCTAGAACTTTGAGCCTGTTCAAAATTCTCCCCGTCCTGCAATTGGACGGAGTGACAACGTACTTAAAACGAGATGGACGTACTACGAACGGAATTGCCGTACTATGAACGGAATTGCCGTACTTCGATCTTACTAGGAACGTGTTACCACCTGATGTGGTCGAGCATCAATGAGGAAGAACGTGCTGGGTTTGTATAGCCCTCGAACCAGGACGGGATTGCAAAGCACGATAGAAGCGCGTTCAAACGCACTAAGAACAAGATGAGGACGAGTTGAACCGTCTCTGAACGGGTGGTTGGGTTATAAACTAGTTAGAACAAGTTCCAAAAATGGTTTGGATGGCTTGGAAATATCAAATTTATCCGACCTGAACTTGATATGAATTGATGGTGGACGGGTACAGACGAGTTGGACGTATTGTGGACTGTTAATGAACGAACTAGAGACATTACAATAGTCATTAGTCTAGTCCGAGCCCGTCCATAAACTTAAAGTCCTTAAACAGGTCGCAAACAGCTGCTATTATGTTCAACTCCGTTCGCACACAGTTTGAGCCTGTTTGGCAACATTTTCGAGAACGTAGTGGGAACTAGTTTGGTGTGATCGGGACTTTAGTCAGCAGACATGTGTTGTATAACTTGTAACTTGTAATTTCATCCACAACTTAGAATAGAAAAAATTATAGAAACACTATCTAAGGCACTATTAATCTAAAGAAGACACTAAATTTGGGGTCTTCTAGTCTTGGAAAATAAAGTGTGAAGATTATGGTCTCGCCATTGATGTCTATCAAGTTGTTCAGCAAGGAGCTCAGTATTGACCACATCGAGTGATATGCTTTGCTGGAGCGAGGCGGATGCAGCCAGCACGAATATGAACACGCGGGACAACACAAAACAGCAAACTACGACAGGCTTCGAATTAATCCTTGATAAAGATATCTAAAAGAGCCAATCAAACATGCAAAAAAACTCTAAAAATTCATATACATTTCAATATCTTTAAAATGTACAAATATATCATATTTATAATTCATAAATATAAAATAATCAGATTTTACCGATACGTACATCCGCTACGCCTGGTACAAATTAGCCTTTAGTTCAGACTTTAATGTAGAGGAATTCGTATCCTTCGTAAAAGCTAAAAACTACATAGTCTACATAATTATAGATCTACATGTATCTTCGTTTAAAAAAACACGCCCACTTGCACTTGCACTTGCACTTGCACTCAGGACTCATGTTGGACCGAGGCTTTTTAAATATTCATGATTTTATTTTGATTTTAAAAAGTAGTCATGATAGCCTCTGGTTGAGTTCGTGCATTGAAGTGAGAGGGAGATTGGGAGTAACTCAGTGGGGGAGGGGCATTATATGATCGAGGTGACGGTTGCCCATTTATGCACAAGTCAGTTGGAGGGCGGAGAGAGAGGGGCGGGGGAGGCGGGGGGGGGGAATTAAAAGAAGGGAGAGATATGGGGGGAGAGAGAGAGAGAGAGAGAGAGAGAGAAGAGAGGCGGCGGGGGAGGCAGGGAATTAAGAGAAGGGCGATTGGAGAGAGAAAGAGAGAGAGAGAGAGAGAAAGATATGGAGAGAGAGAGAGAGAGAGAGAGAGAACGGATCGAGATGGAGATGAGGGTGACAGCGCGAATTATGTGTCTACATACAAAAGTAATCGTTAATTGCACGTACGTCCATATATGTAATGCTTATTTACATATTCTTTTAAAATGACCATGCCTGGGACTATTTTGTAAAGAAGCTGACTACTACAAAATAACATTTGTGTATGATTATTCATCACTAGTATCAAGATTGGGACTATAGTCGATCATATCGATATAAGTATAACACTCAACCCCCCCCCCCCCCGCCCCTGAAAAAGATAAATAGATTGATATCACTTGTTAAAAATTCTACACTGAATTCTTACCGATTTAATTGACTCTACTTTGTTTTTCCACCTCTTTGACTCTACAGTGATTATGTACTTCATGTCCACTAAGTACTATTACAGTATCCGATACTTAACAAAGTGTGTTTCATCATTTTTGTTAATTTGCTTTGCTAAATCATATAATGTTAACAATTTATTAAAATATTGTTTACATAGTCAGGGTCTACATTTTACAAGCTATATAATAGTACACCCCTCCATATTTTCCTTGATATACCTTGTTATTTTAAATCTCAATCTGTTCTCAAATCATTTTTCATATTTATTAAAAACCACTGCTGTACAAAAAAGTTGAAAACTGTTTTTTATAGGAAACTTGATAACAAAAATGACAGCCTCTTTGGGTTGCCTTGAAGCAAAAGGCAATCTAAAATATTTACAGTTGAATCTATATATAATTAATTGGATAAAACAAAAGATTGTGTCTGTTTTTATATAGTACACTGCAGGGCCTACATGTTGCAATAGCCAGGATAACAGAGAGAAGATATTGTCTCGTAAAACACCAAGTAATGTAATATTTGTGAATTAATAAATAAGTAAATAATTGCAAGGAGCGGGTAGATCCATTCACAAATTCGGAATGCGAATGTGTAGTCATTGATAATTTTAGCTTATGAATATTCATGAGTGAAATTTACAACCGAGCAACTTAGGAGCCTTGCAACGAAATTCGAAGAAGCATGTACACTCATACATTCCTTTCTGTTTATGTTACATACAAAATTACGAAATACGTTATTCAATACCAGCTTTGGGGATTAAATAACAGTAAAAAGGTACCCAAAAGTGGCCAAAACAAGATTAATCACGAATGCTTCGTCAGCATTGCGCATGCGTATGTTGATGACGGGTCTGACGTATATGTCTACGTAACCGCGCTCTTTCTTCCACATTTGGCGCGCCGCCTCGTGTTTATCTTTTTAGCAGAATAATATCTGATCCCGCCAAACCTCGTGCCCGCCCTGTAGTAAACAACGACTGGAAAACAGCGACGTAGCATCGTCACATAGAAATAGCAAGAGAACTTCGAATATATCACCGATTAACAATGTCTGAGAAGAACAATAACGAGTAAGTTATACATATATTATGGCCTAAATGAATTTAAGTGGTAATTATCGTCTGCATCTAGTGAAAACATGTCTGAAAAAATACCGGCATGTGTGTGCGTCTTGATCTTAACTTGTGCGTGTGTGTGTAATGTATTATGAAGGGCGATCTCTGTATATGCCACGCCAGCATGCAGCATGCAGTGATGCGGTGTGCATGGATATACATGTAGCCTATGTGATGCTGATATGTGATAGATGGATGATTATTATAAGTTAGCCTTTGATCATCACTATACATCTAACTAATAATCAAAATTTGAATATCTAGATCTATGATAAGTTTGGTGTGTCGGTATGTGACTCGAGCAAGAATAAGGTGGCTAAGTTTGAAATATGGTGGGTGGATCTGAATTTGAAGGGGGGGGGGGCAGGTTTACAAATAGTTTTATAGGGCATACTGTAGAATTATTTTATAATACAAACATGACTTGAGACTGAGTCATGACAATAGAAGAAGAAGAATTATCAATGTAGGGTAGTGATGATATGATATTGATATTACCTAGCCATACCCCTGCGTGAAGAGCGATGTAAACAAAACCAAAAATGCGTCCGTCATCGCTCATTCCCTTATCCGACAAACCTAGCAAACTACTTTGTACTTGCAGAGTTTGCTAGTGAGTAGGCCTAGTGCAGTGGACTCTTTCTTTCCACTCATACTGTCATAGTCGTACAAAGCACTTTGAAATTGGTCAACAATTTAACCAAAACATGAACCTGATGATAAGGAGCTAAGTAATATGCGATTTACATTACCGGTACACAAATGCTAACCTCTCAAAAGTTTGCCATCAATGCCAATAGACGTGACATGGTGTACACGGAAATGGCTGTTTTTGCATTGTCATTTTGATTCTTACTTTATGATGATAGCGATTAGTGTAAGAAAACATGCGCAGGGAGTTTGATAAAATCAGCAACTCCTTGCGTGCGCCTCAGTACTAAACAAAACTTAAGAGGTGTTTATTTTAGTTTTAGTGCTCAATTGAAAAAGTCAGCCATTGTAGCAATCACTTCAACAAATAATTTGTGTACACCAAGGATGTATAAAGTCAACTTTAAATACTTGAGAGCATGAGGGGGGAAAAAAACTGAAAGGCCCCATACTGAACTCAAGTTGAACTTGGCTTCTGTACTTGCCATGTTTTATTTATGCTCTATCCATACCTTAAGTGTTCTATGTGGAAGTTTCATAAAAGCCAAAGTCAAGTGATCAAGCACTTGACTTGAAATGCAAAGGTCAGTGATCAACCCTATTATTATTTTTATGTGTAATGTGTGGACAGGACTACTACTTTTTTTGTATTTACTTGTTACTTTTTCCTTGACTAAATAAATTAATAATAACACAGAGTGTTCATGCATGTATGTGAGCATTATACCTTTTTAACTTTTTTTTTCTCAGCAGGGGGTCCCTGGAGCCTCTGCTAAGTTCCATAAAAATTGGGCCCATAATGGTGACAAATCATCTTTTTAAAAAGATGGTTGCATGAGCCATGCAGTCTTTATCTAGAATAAATTAATGTTTAATGCAGGGAAAGAAAAAAAAAATCCTCAAAAGCATTGTCATGAAATATATGCTCTGGCCTCTTTATTTTTTCCCCTCCCCCACTAGTTCAGTGTTTTCACCAGACATTTTTCTATTAACCTCTGAACTTGTAACTTACAAATGATCTGAATCAAGCATATATATATACATGTAGGTTTCAGTCTGCTTTTCTTGTTGGCAGTAGCAATAGTCCATTAGACTTAGAGGGCAATAGTATAGAGGTGATATTGGAAACCATACATATTGTATCCCATCTGTTATTGTACTTGTGTGTAGGCCCTGTTGACCAAGTTGACCTTGTCCCAATGAAATTACACTACAGTGGAAAATACATAAGGCTTCATATACGCATGGATAATTATTGGGAGTTCCAGGCTTTTTTAAAACTCAGCAGAGATCAATAAAACTACAATTGCACGCACTTCATTTTTGTTTGATGATAGGGACGAGAGAGGTTATCAACATTTTTATCATTTCAGTTCGCATTTATCTAACAAATGTAACCCAAATGAAATGTGCCAGATAGTTTAATCTAAATCAAATATTTGTGACCTACCTTTAGATGTAATAATTATTGATAATGTGCTTGAATGCTGTCTGAGTCTCAAGGTACCGCTATCTTGGATAAATATTTGCATAATGAGTTCGTTCAAAGTATTGTGTTCCAGGAATCACCAGCTGAATATTAATACAGAAGAACATTATTTTTTTATAGAAGTTTAAAATCAATCTTTACGCAAGGTGATGTTCCTGAAACCTTGCTCTATTTCGTTGCATTTATTTTATAGTACTGTCCAACTGTTTTAGGAAAAACAATTTTCTTTTTGAAACAAACATTCTGAAGATGCCAAACTTGAAATGATAAGTCAATATAGGATAGACAAATAAAAGGAATACACATGTATGTATTATGCATTTCAACAATGATGCTGAAAAGAAAGCAGAGTTCAATTTCACACTCACAAAAAACGTTATGAATAATAATATTGATATTATGATAAAAAATGCATTTCGTAGTAATTTCTCCATGGCAACAAAAGTTAAAAAAGTACTTTTTTTTAATTTAGTAGTACATTCATTTGTATGGTGAGATGTTTTCACTACAGTAAATGGAATGAAGATGCACATTTTAAAAATTAGGCAAAAATCCATTTATCAAACCGTTATCAGGAAGTCACACTTCCTGTGTGTAAGGATATTCATCAGCAGGAAGAAAAAAAAAGTTATATGGAAATATAAAGTGTTAAGGTGATCTCTTCTGTGGGATAGGTAGAATTATCAGAATATCTACGTGTTAATGCTCTGCAGGAATTTTTTTTTTTTAATGAAAAGAAGTAGGCAGATCAGCCATAATCTCAAATTTAGATTGCACTTTCAAGCTAGTTTGAACCATAAATACCCATGAACAAAGCCTTTGTGATTGAACTAAAAGACTGTCTTGTCAAAATACCTTGGAATCGGTGATGCGGCTGAGCACGTGCTTGGTTATGAAAAGAATGGAATGCACAGTTTTGTCAAACAACTATTATTTACAAATACAATCAATGCATCTACAAAAATCATATTTGCTTGTACACGTCATCACATTTTTTTTTTTTTAAGACTCCCTTTGTAAGGGAATGTGCATTGTACAATCGGTTGCCTACTTTTTCTAGCACCTCATACAGTCATTTGAAGGTTTAAAGCTACATGTATATTCCATATCTCTGTCAGTTAGTACTACAGTGGACCAAGTTCTCTCCACTTTTACTCTTTCGTGCATGCATGTACACAAACCACTTGACACCTAGCGTAGTGCTTCAGTAGACGTTACCATAGCGTAGGATGGCATCCAATAGCAGTGTAGTGGAATCGGAGAGTTCCAGTGACAGTGTCATTTCATCTTTTGAGTGTTTGACTACCAGGAACCTTACAGATCCAATCGCCTCCGACAAGCAAGATCGGCTTGCCATGTCTGCCGCCGAGACAACACCGCAGGCCAACACTGAAGCCCCTACCTCCGAGGGTGCCCCTAGGTCGGAGGGAGCCCCCCCTACCACCACGCATTCCATTCCATGTCAGTCTACCAGGTACTGTGTGACAACTAGTCGTTAGTATAGCTGCCTCTTGTTTCTTTACCCGGCTTGCACATGTATTCAACTTTTGTATCTGTACTAAATTTTGGGGTATCATTATTTTTTATAACAGATATGTAAATCATCAAAGTGCCCCTCCCCCTCCCCCCCCCCCCCCAAAAAAAAAAAAAAAAAAAAACAGGAGGGGAGCTTGAATGATAGCACTAAAATATTCACTTAATATAGTACCACTAAAAATAGTTTTTTTTTTTATGGTGAAGGCAGTGATTTGTGTTGCAGTGGCAAGGCTTATAACTGCATGGTTGTAACTCTGTCTTATTGTCAGTTGAATAATAATTCATATTTTTTTTCTTTTCAAAGTAAATCTGTCTTGGTCCTACAGATATATTGACAAATTTAATTGTAGTGTTAGTGGTGGTTCTGTAATTTGTAGTCCTGTTTATACCTGCGCATTATTGTATAACTTGCACATTCATATATTGTTAATTGGTGGTGCACTGGGTAAATTAAAACAAAATATTTAGAGGCTACATTTTAAATATCTGATTTAAATTCTGTATTGGAGATTGTGCACACAGTGTGTGCGGGCAAGCACTGAATCCAATGACCGGGGTAATAGTATATATTTGTAAAGCGCTTAGAGACATTTGTATTAAGCGCTATATAAAAATTAAATATTATTATTATTATTATTATTATTATTGAATCATGGTAAACTAGGGTAGTGCACTAATTTGTTGAAACTATTAAGTATGATCAAACATCAAACCATCTGCATGGTCAGATACATGCCCTTATCTGTTATCTGGAGATTCCCACAAGTTAAGAATAAATTACCAATAAAATGGATTGGGTAGCCATTTTGAAAATCAAGATTGGCTTTTAGTACAAGTCAGATTAATTGTTTTGACCCAGGCACAGCTGCACCTACACCTACACCTACAGTACCAGTATACCCGGAAACCTTGATCAGATTGGCTGTTAAGTGATATTACCATGGTAGTTACATGAAATATTGATGTCAAAGTTACCCTCAACAGTATGCCCTGGGCTGTTAAGTGATATTACCATGGTAGTTACATGAAATATTGATGTCAAAGTTACCCTCAACAGTATGCCCTGGTGCACTGCACAGCATAATTGTATTGTTTTATTATTTCAGATCAGTCATTTTCAATTGTTGCTCAGTTGGATTAGTATATTTGGAAGCTTACATACATATTTGGAGCTAGTTTTTGGTTTATTGAAATATTAATGTATTTTCTATTCCTAATTTTATATTAGTTACTGCATGTTTATATTAGGTCTTGTACATAATATAATTGATGAGTATTGGTATAGTACTGTTTATTCACTCCCACATTTATTGTGTTTGTGAGCTCTCCCATTAATTTGTTTGTTTTTCTTTTTAATTTACTTTTGATATTGTCCTTCAACCTTGGCAAAGGAATCCTGGCATAATCATTTACATGTAGCTATCAAAATGAATATTTTGACTCTCACTTCACTCTCATAATTCTCTGTTTAGATATTTTCCAAAGCTTGTTAGCCTTGTTGTGTTAAAAGTATGAACTTAGAATTTACAACTTTGATGAATGCATTTTTGTTGTGAGGGGGGGGGGGGGGGGGTAGGTGAAATTAAAACTTACATGTAAAAAAATGTACCAGTAATTTAAAAAAAAAAAAATTATTATAAGAAAGTGATGATTTAATTAATATTCTATCTACTGTACATATAGCCACGCTTGATGGAAGTAACCACATAACATACAAGCTTGTGATTGCAATGTAGTTTGTAGAAACACCACTGGACGACCAGAATTCTTTGTATATATAGATGTAGCTATTTAAAAATCATATATCTATACAATAAGTAAATACCTTTTTCCTAATCTGAAGTTCTGAACTTAGATTAAAGAAACGTATAATGAAACGCATGTTTGAGCATCGTTTTGAAGAAGAAAAAAAACATTACAGAATCGGGGTCCTGCCCTAGTCTCTGAACGTCGTATGAATCATACCATAATCATAATACTGGGCAGGGATTTTTGTGAGCGCACATTAATAATTAGCCAGCTCTCATGTCAATTGACTTTTTCCAAACTACATATAGTTTGTTTAAAAAACGTTTCTATACACAAAGTTTCCTATTCTGCATGCTCTTGAGTCTTGTCACTATAGTATAGAGTGGTTCTGTATGTACATGTTTCTTTATTAAACTTTTGTATGACTTTTGGTTATTATGAACAGGCTACCAATCTTGCAGTGTTTGCATAAGTTCTCTGCACCCATAATACTAATAGCCCCATGTATTTAATGTTGACCAAGCCAACGCCCACTTTCCATACATGTGTACACCATTGAAAGAGGTCCATTGCATCAGATTGGCACTGTGCCAAAAAAAATTGCCTCCTTTTGCCAACAGCAGCAGCACAGATCCTGAAGGGTCATCCTGCCAATTAATGTCTAGTCTTTGCATTTCAGTCCAGTTACAAGTAAGCACAACATGATATTGGATTTGTTTACAATGTAGTCAAGACCCCAGTCGTAGATGTTTGATTATTTCCATTGTTAGTTGATCATTTATTAATTGTAGCATACAATTCAATTCCTTGAGTTTCATAAAACTTTTACAGGGCAATTTAGCTTTAAAATCGGGGTGCAGTAATTGTAATTTCATTATAAGTTTGATAACCATGTACAAACAAAAACAAAGTATGACTATGTTCTTGTACAGTGTAGTTCTATCTCTCATATATTTTTCTCATATAGTTTTCTTTGTATAGACACATTTGCATGCATATGTTCATCATACATGTTAAACCACGAGGGGTCTGATTGCAGAGACTATCATTTTGGGGGTGTGTGGGAGGCTTGGCCTTTAGTCTGCACACACAGCCATCCAAGCAGTCCTGAGTGTTATTGATTACCGTAGATACAAAGCAAACACGCTCATTACGCCATGCGTGTCATAGCTGTGTGATCAGCCATGTTTTAACTCACGTTTTTTGTCTTGATTATTATATAAAACATGAAATGCTATGTTTTTTAACTCATTTTTTATCTATCATGTTTTTAACTCATTTTTTGTGTTTTGATTAGAGTACTAAACAAGAAATTCAATTCTTGTAAATTGTAATGATACATGTAGGCTATACACTATAGGTACAAATTTGTGTCTGGTATGGTACATTCTAACATGAACTTAGAAAGAAAGAGGTCAGGAATGTTGTGTCTGAGGAGGGAGGGGGGGGGGGGTAACTTATTGTCAAGGCAATAGGAATGTTGTGGATCTTGTTTCAGTTTAGGGTGGCAGTAACTAGTCTTGCTACAATGAATTTAGACTGCTTTCTTCTACTCTCATCGTGGAGGGGAGGGGGAGTTGAGGAACTGCTCAAATTACCAGATGATTATTACTATTCAAGATGGCTTAGAAGCCGTGCAAAATATATAGGCTATACACAGCTTGTTCATATAGAATAGGCCTGCAGCGTGTACTTTATAGATCTATTATTCAGTTCAGGGCTGTTAGCTTGCATGGGCTAAATCCATCTTGGCAGTATTCCAATACTTTTTTTGTTGTCTGGTATAGATTTTTCTCTTCAGTTCTTTGCGGTATTTAGTCATCGTCCCTTTCACTGCTAGTCGCGATCTCACTTTAACAGAATCCATTCTTTCATCAGTAAAGGATAGTTTCACTCAAAGAGTCATTGTGTGTAGACTGTAGAAGGTATAGGCGATGAAACGTGTTGGTGAATACCAAGGAAGCATGGAAGAAAGCGTGGAAAGGAAAGTTGTCTGTGTGCAAACTAATTCATCCGAAATGTGAGTATCTTATTGATGCCACTGTTGCATTGCTATCACCATGTGGTGTTTCATCAACTTTGAAAATACACTGTTGAAATCATCACAAAAAGTGAAAGGGGGATTGCATGAGCACCGATGATGGATTTTTTTTCTTCATGATCATATCAAAATGTTAAATGGTATCTTTATTGGAGTTACAGTGTAGAAGTACCCTGTAAATATAGTTTAAGAGGGTATATTTACAGTCATGTAAAGTGCGCTATCCAAAGATTGAACTGTAAAACAACGTCATCATTTCCTTTTTTAGCATTTGCCAGACTACCGTACATTTACCTAGAACAGGAAGACCTACGTACATGTGAGAGTAGGTACTCTCACATGATCAAGTCTTTGGATGGTTATTGCATCCCTTTCCTTCCTTGAGTGTCATGAATTTAGATTTCAGCACACGGAACTTAGTCTTCCATTTCCGCTTTAGCCAAGTTCTCTCTCTCCCAATGCTATTTTTGATGGTTAAAGAGATGATTCACTACAGTTTCAAGAGTCTCGTCTTTAAACAAAATTAATCTCTTTTCTCTAGTGTCAGAAATAGAAAGGAATGATTTAGGCAAGTTTTCAGCAGAATGAATTTCACATAGTGGTCTAAGATTTTTCCTTCTTTCATTGCAAATTATTTCCTGTCTTGTTGGCCAATGCATTTTTATGTACGTATAACAAAAAAAACATCAAGTAAACATTGTAGTTTCTTAATTGTATTTACAAAGTGCAATTGGGGAGAAAGAAAGTATTTGCGTTTTGGCTTTATTACCACCTTTGTCAAATTTACAGTACAAAATAATCTACATGTGTAATTCAAATCAACCACATTTTGTAATTAGTTTGACTGTACATGTACATTATGTACATTATGTACATGAAGGTGAACTTGTGTCGTACAGAATCTATTTTTTATGAAAATAGAGATAAAAGATTTAAAAATTGCATCCCCCCACAAAAAAAGTCATTTAGAGAGGGAATATACCACATACGTAACTAAAAACTGTTTATTTGACCCTTTCTTTGGCTACAGCACTACATGCAGATATAACAAGTGCATGGGCTGACTGTGAACAGCATGGACTAAATGCACCAGGTGCATTCTCCATTATAGACTGTTTGTGTAATCAATTTCATATTGACCTCCATCTATATGTGGATGGTAGACTTTGTTTGTACATGTATTTGCACAATAATCAAGATCTCTACCTGTACCGGTATTATCTACAGCAGGCAGGGATACTGTAGTGTGAAGATTGACCCCACCTTTAAAAAAAATATATAAATGCAGAAATGGAGGCAGAATTAAATGTGCTTGTCCTGTATCCAAGTTAGGATATATGCAACATTATAAAATGAAGGTGATCATGAAGAGCTTGATTTTCACAGGAAATGATTTTGTTCAGACCCCGAGATCTAGTACCTGTTTTACATAGCCTTTTTTTCAATGACAAATGACCAAAAAAAAATCACAAGTTTATAATAAAACTGTCATTACAAGCTTTGTGAAATGTACGTCAATAGACGCCAATAATTCCCCTATATCAGGTCTCGCTGTACTTCCTGATTCTGAACCTCCATTCACAGAGAGAGATGGAAGGATCAATGTAGGAGAACAAGACAGTACCGTATTATGTTGATATGTTGTGAGTTTCTATGGTTTGGAGGAAAATAGATTATACACTGTGCCCCGTTATACCAAGTTCCCCCTGTGGATATATGTGCACTTTGTACCTAACTACCCATCTTTAATTAAGCTATGGTTATAAATAGAAATCAATATCATTTCCTCTTTCAGCAATAAAGCCAGTCAATCATTGAGTCGATGATTAACCAATGCCATCATGTTACGATGCAAGAAATAGTAGGCAGAATAGTCACTTAAAGTGCACAATAAATTGCACAATAAATTGCACACTACTGCCTATAAAGTTGGAATACTTTTCTCTAACCTCTTTCCATGAAATGATTGTGACAATACAATTCATTCTGAATAGATAAAGTTGATATATTCTCAGAACTTATAAACTCTACCTATCAAGAACAAGCAATATTGTGACAATTATTTCATATGAAGATGTTAGGGAAATTATTCCAATTTTATAGGCAACAGCATACATGTACAATGTACATGTATAGTGCACTTTAAGTGACCTATTGCCTATTCCTTGCATCGTAACGTGGCATTGGCTAATTGCCTAATTATCTACCAAATTAATGGCTTTTGTTTCAGAAAGAGGAAATGGTATTGGTTTCTATTTTTATAACCAAAGCTTGATTAAAGATAGATTCTAAGTGGATATATTCCCTTGTAATGAGAATAAATATAGATGAAAGAAAAAGTACCGGTAAGTCTAGATTTGCAGCATTTATTTGCACATTCTTGACCTAAACCTACATGTTTGAAGTCAGTTGCTACAAGACGATGGTAATATTTCAAGTGAAGATTGTTTTAAAAATGCCAAACTCATCTTGTCAAAGTTGCTTTCCAGTAGATCTACTTATATTTCTAACTTACATGTACCTAGATCACTATTGTACATTTTCATGTTCCTGTTTTTCTTTTGCGCCTGGAGTGCATCATTCATGTGGAGTTGGCAAATTATAAATACTCTCATCCTCATCAATCATCATCATTTTGAAATGCAATTATATTATGATCAAATTGAATTGAAAACAAACAGACAAAACAAAATAATTGTAATTTTCTTGTAAAACTCTTCTTTTTTTTTTTACAAAATGATACCAAATTCATCAATATTCTTGTAATTGACCGGAAGTTTAGCTCAAAAAGTGATCGCGGGCAGATTTGGTGTCCGATATACCTCTACCACAATGTACAGTGTAATGCGAAACTGCATTAAAATGGAAAACAAAATGGCGGCTTCGGATCGATGCTTCGCTGCTGCTCCGTCAAATGGTCTCTTACTTTACTTTTGCAATGCATTGGCACGAACTTAGATCAAGATATATCGACAAATGTTGGTTTAGCAATTTATTTTCGTATTCATGTCAACAATGCAAGATAAAATTGTCGGTAAGATGTGTTGAAATGTCCTGTACCATAGTGGTATAGTTATTGTACCGTTCTTAGTCCCATATGTGCAAATTCGTGCTGGTTTTGACTTGAGGTTTTTTTTTTTTTTTTTAAATCTTTCGCCGTAAAGGCCGCCCCCCAACTTTTTGATATATTCTCTTCCAAAAATACTGCGGCCTTTACGCAAAGATTTTTTTTTTTTTTTTTTTTTTTTACTGTTTAGTAGATGTGTTCTTGGTAACATGTCTTTATCTTTATCACAGTCAAACTACTTAGAAACAGATACTTTGATTGCATAATACATGTCAGACCATGTTTGTGTATTAGTCGAACTTACAATCGATTTATAGCAAAGGACAAAGAATTGAGAGCAAATAGTCTGTGACGCAATTCCCTAGTTCTACAAAGTATTATGTAACATGTTGAGATCATTGTTGGTACACACAGGAAAGAATTCAAATGTCCTTCAAAGTCCAAAATCATTGAATATATAAGTTGCCTGAATAATCAAAATCATTCAACATCAAAAGGAATTTAGAAGTCCTTTTTTGTGTGTGAAAGGTCATTGAATATTTGAGTTGCTTGAATAATAGTAATTAATCGAACCAAATGTGATGTAATGAGCAGTAAGAATTGCTGTTGGCACACTAAAGATATTATTCAACTGTCCTTTTTATCCAAACTCATTGACAATCAAATTCTAAGAATTAAAGCTTTTTATCACCCTACTATTAAAATGAAATGGTGGGATTTGGAAGGGTTCTACCAATCTGATCATTTTGAAAGGAAGAAAAAAAAAAATCTTGGGATTGTACACTTATCCATGTACATGTATGTATAATATGTTTGCCACCAAGACAAAATAATGTGTGTAGCAGATTTGGCTGAATAAAGATTTTGATTCTCATTTTATAATCTGTGTCGTTGAATTGTCTGTTGATGTTCATGCATGGTCAGTTGCACATTTGTTTGATGAGTGATGAAGTTTTTAGATATATATTCTGTGTAATAAATGTGCATGATACATGTACTAGTTGTAATAGTAGACATTGAAACAAGTCTTTCCCTGCGTTGACCTGTGAAATTCCCTACTCTGCACCTCTTTGCACGGTCATGAATATTCCTTCAAATCTTTCCCGTTTATCGTGTCATTGACGTGGCAGTTTCATAAAGATTACAGTTTAGTTTTGATATGAATTATTTCGTTGAGTATCCTGTTGAGTATACTCAGTTCGGCTTAGTGGGCTTCCCTATCAATAAATTTCGCTATCTGTGTAAGATTATAAAATGCACATATAGATTTTTTAATGTAAAATTGCTGTATGAGGTATTTTGTCCTTTAAAGAAATGTACGATATAGGTTAGTACAGTTCGATAGAAGCAGTTCAAGAATTGTTTTGATTTTATATTGCTGAAATTGTTGTTATTTCCATTTTTATTAATCTTTGTTTGCCTTCTTTACTTGTTTCAGGTATACCTATGAGGACTTTGAGTCTATGGCAGAATGCCTGTTGTCAAGGCAACCGCATCGTCCAACAATAGGCATCATCTGCGGTTCAGGCCTGATGAACCTGGGAAATAAACTGGAGGAGAGGTACACGATACCCTACGAGAAGATTCCAAACTTTCCCGTCAGCACAGGTATGAAATATGAATGGAATGTAAAATCATGAAAATGAATATCAGTATGAAAGGTTCCAACTCCAGTCAATACAAACAAATATTATTATTGTATTTTTCTAAGTTTTAAAGGGACATGTGTTCTTGTGTTAGGCTCAGTTATTGGTTTATAACAGGACCCACTTGTTTTGATGGTAATTATTAGTATAAAATACTTTAAAATAACCCTCCTTTAAAATTTGTGGGGAGCCATTTGTGAAGACTAATTTTGACAGCTTTCCAAGTGTTGAGATTGAATTTCAAAGAAGTGAAGAAAGATAATTGCTTGTGTCATTTACTGGTTATCAGTCATCGGGCCAAGGATATTGCTGCGTCATGGCAATGACAACATGAACTCCAATTAAATGAAGGACATTCTCCTTTCCCTTTACTTTACATTATCCAGACTACATTAAGTAGGATACTGATTTGAAAGAGAAAAAACTTAAAGAAATTGAATTGCAATTTTCTCTCAGCATAAGATTTTGTACATTTGATTCACAAATGAATTCTGTCCATTAAAAAATTGGCAGGATATAATTTTGTTCGATTTACGGCCCTCTTGGTTTACAGAACACTAGATGTGTATAAGAAGTACTTATGCATAATTATACCCTCATTCTATTACATTCCGAGGCAAATTAGTGAAAGTTTATCATATAAATCATTTCTTATTTTCAGTTGAGGGACACCATGGTCAGTTTGTATTTGGAACATTGAATGGGAAGACAGTGGTGATGATGCAGGGAAGGTTTCATCTTTATGAGGGTTACCCAGCATGGAAGGTAGGTAGCCATTTTGAACGAATCATTGATTATTATCTCATGACTTAAACAAAATAATGATATGGATTTATATAGCACTTGATAAGAAAAATATGGTCTCTAACTCTTTTATTTGCCATATTTTTCTTCAAAGTTTTTTTATGATGGAGGGTTTCCACACACTGAAAAAACATAGAGACTTCTCTTTTGCCACAAATTTAAAGGAAAATATTCATCAAATAGCACAAACCGTCATGAATATTTGTACTAATATTGTCCAACTTAAGTCTCAGAAAGGGTGATCAAATATTGCTTGTAAACTTCTTCAAATTATCGTTATAAATCAACTGTCCGGATACACCACGTCTGGGTATACATGTACACAGTATGTTTGACGAAAACCCCCTGCCTGTGTCATTGGTAGACTAATACATGTAAAGAGGTAATATTAGTCTTAGTGGTTTTGATTCCTGCTCTCTAGAGCCTCAACCTTGGTTGATTAAACATTTGTCAAGTGACCCATTAGAAGCAGGATATGCTGGTACACATGATGATGATGACACATAGTGAAAATGTTAATAAGTGGTATTGTACAAGCTGTTTTTTACAAAAGAACAACATCATCTGTGATGATACATTTTTTTACAACAATTATTCCCGCAAGTAGTCTGATCTTAACCAACTGATTTTTGCCTACTCATCTCATACTCAGTTGCTTTCCTGGTTTAAATCCTGCTTCACTTGCTCCCACCCCCCCCCCCCCCCCCCCCAAAAAAAAAATAATAAAGAAAGGTAGCTAATAACATGCTGGTAATTGTAATTTGCGTAACATTCGTGAGAGTGATAACGTTTTATCTAATATGCCTCCTTTTTCTTGCCTACTTCTCGTAGCTTGTCGCACCTGTGAGGGTGATGAAGCTCCTTGGAGTTGAGACCCTGGTGGTTACCAACGCGGCAGGTGGAATGAATCCAAACTACAAGGTCGGAGACATCATGGTCATGATCGATCACATAGGAATGCCGACATTGGCTGGTGCTAACCCCCTCGTTGGTCCCAACGATGAAAGGTAGGTACTTCCCCTACTAACGATGTTCCAGTAGAGTAAATCTTTGCAATATTTCCTGGAACTGTTTTCTGTTCTCAAATCCCCAATTTTTAGGTCAATTGATCCAGAATACTTTAAACCAAACCTTTAATTTTTACCCTTTTAGGGCAGGATTTTTTTTAGTGCTAAATTGATCACTTCTCTTCTTAAAATTGGCAACAATATTTTTCTTTTATTGCTACATTATTCAAATAAAATGCGGTCTCTGAAAATAATATTCATGGTTATAAGCTATACATATGTTTAATTTTTTTTTTCAAATACTAATTTGTTTGAGAAAATGATTTTATCCTGTCAATGTGTTGCCAATTTAAGTATTTTAAGGCCTATTTTACCTTTTAAAATTCCTGGTGCAAAGAAAGTGGATCCGTGTGCAGAAATTTTGCCCTTTCCCTTTCCTTGTTGTATATTTTTGTATTACTCTGAATGAAAAGTTATTGAGCCAAACTACAACATGTGGAATACTTGTCTTGAAAGGGTTCAGGAAGTTTGAAATACATTTAGGACAATGTAGTCTAAGCAAGATGAGATTTAGAGTTCTAGTTTTTATGTTGCCCATTTGTAATTCTTACCAAGTGTTTGTGTCAGTTGTCTGCTGTGACCTGGGTGTCAATAACGGATATCTGGTAGGATTTATTCCAAAGCTCATTGGTGATGAATGCAAAATGAGGCAAAGCTACAGTGATTATTTTGAAATAGAGTGGGATATAATGTTTTGATGTCGCACTTACAAAATAAACAAAGATACAATGTAATTCATGGAATTAAAGATAAAGTTGAGTTCTGGTCATGCGATTGCATTGTGCGTGGAATTGATCAGATAAGGTTGATCATCTAGCATATAAGTATTGTGTGTTCTGCAAGGTTCTGGAATCATCAAAATGATAAGAAATTTGGCCCAGTCTTGGTAAAGTTACAAGCACTGTACACAAAAAGATGTATATGGGACTACGCGAACATGTGGCTCAAAATTCCGTCCTGATTTTTATGCTGTTACATGCCATATTTAGAATATTAAGGCATATGAAGAGCCATCCTTTTTAGGGAACATTTTTAATCTGATGTTCTTCCACACTTGCATAATAACAATGATTACACTCACAAATTATTTTTTACCTCTTCCCAGAACTCCACCTTCTCTTTAAAAGCGTGTGAACCACAGATCTAGAACTTTCCCAGTCCTGGGTGTTGTTATGCAGCTAGTTTGCAAACCAATGCCCTTCACAATGTGGATGTTCTTGAAGAAGAAAGTCGAGATTAAGACCCCGCACTATTAATCATTCCTGTCATTTTGTAATAATAGGTTTGGAGCAAGATTTATCAACATGTCCGATGTCTACGACAAGAAGCTGAGGAAGCTTACGATGAAGGTCGCTCAGGATCTGCAGTGTTCGACGTTCGTCAAAGAGGGCATTTACGTCATGGTCGGAGGGCCTTCATACGAGACTCCAGCTGAACTTAGGCTTCTACGGTCATTGGGAGCGGATGTTGTAGGTAAGTGATAGACTCTAGGACTTCATAATGGAAATAACTCATGAAAGTACAGATTTTTACATGAAAGTAAAGTAAGCAGACAGTGATGTGACATTTGTTTCAGACTTTATTTTTTGAAAGGAGGAGGGTTGGGTTTAGGATTAGAGTAACATACGGTGTTGGGCCAAGGGTTGGAGTTTAAAATTTGGGCTGGTGTAAGCAATCTAGCAGTTGTCACTGTTCATTTATCACACAATCATAAAGACTACCTTTGTCCTTGGAGGCAGAAAATGTTACCCTTCTTCATAGTAATTATTTTATCGAGCCAAGTTCATGAGCATTATTTTTCTGAACATAAAGCCACGATGCGTTTTTACTTTGAAACTGAAAATACAGAATTAAAGCTTATCTGCCATAGTTAACAGGAGGGATTAGACCGCCCTACAAGGTCACTGGACAGGTGGCTATCTCATCAACTCAGCTCTCAGTTAACATAAGAAAAAGAGGATCATGGGGGACCAATGGTCACCGATTAGGCATTGTTTGTTATATAGAGGGCACAAGTAGCTACAAGTAGTGCAGTGGGCCTTTAAAACACTGAGCATGTTGTTTGATGCAAGCATGTTCATCAGGTTTTGAGATACCTACTTGCATGTGAGAGTGTATTGTATAAGCAGTAATTTCTTAAAATTTCATTAATTTTTGATGATTTGCAGTACCTGCAACAAGAACAAGATTTAAACCACAACTTAATGTACATTTTACACAAATAGGCTCTAGTGCATGTTTTCATTCAATTTGGAATAGGTTTGCTGGTAAAGAATAAGCAGTCAAATAAAGATTTCTATAATCATCAAACTTGTAATTGCAGTGCATGGCACGGAAGCATCTTGCCATACAAATTGGAAAATTTGCAAAAGTTGCATGTATAATCAAGATGTTTATTTTCTCGTGCAATTAGGTACCTGGACAATAAATGAAGAAACTTCCAGGGTCCCAACCACATCATTTTAACAGAATTTTTCTGTAGATTTAAAGTCAGTACGTCAATGTGCAGTGATTTTACATTTGTTTTTGTCAGGTAGACACAATTTGTTATCATTCAATGAAAAGATAATGGATTGTATCCACACTGTAATCTAAATGAGCATAATGTCACTTTGCCTGGAGTTCAAACATTTTTTTCTTCTTTATTCCACGTAACAGGTATGAGCACTGTCCCTGAAGTGATAGCCGCAAGGCATTGTGGGATGCGCGTCCTTGGCTTCTCGCTGGTCACGAATTGTTGCATCATGGACTACGCCACCCACGGTGAGACGAATCACGAGGAGGTCCTGGAGACCGGCAAGTGGCGCGCAGGAGTCATGCAAGACCTAATCGGACAAGTCGTAGAGAGGATAAACGGAGAGGAATGATAAATTCTACTCTGCAAGTTTCCTCCATGCTGAATAGTCGTGTACAGATTTTATTAGACATTTAGAGAAAGGATGTTCTTTCTCTCATCGCTTGTTATATAAAAGACTTTGGGAAGAGCGAGTTCTCTTTCAGCTCTAAACATAGTTTATCTACTTCTTGAATTCGAGCAGAATGTAATTCAGCAGCTACTATCCTGATGTGAACGTCCACCACTCACATTTGAACTTCTTCCATTCACATATGATCGTCAAGGAACTCCCAGAACCAAACATTCATCTTGGCTTCTGTCAGCAAACGTATTTCTTGAGGGTGACATTACTTTGTCATCCTGTGTTGAGGAAAGCATCGTTTTTATGACTCAAGTTTGCAGGAATTCCAAGGCATGGGGTACAATACTCTTTTTATAAAGAGAAACAGGAATGTACCAGGATTTCAAAATGATATTTTTTGTGATACATGGACTGTTTGCATATGCGAATGGTTATAGTGAGAAGAGCACTTTTATGCAGTGCTGGTGTTAATACCCTGCGGTCCATACTGTACTAATTCAGTTAAATGCGACCCTAGGTGTTTGGATTTAAACCTGATTTTGAAACAAAAACCTAAACCCAACTGTAAGGTTTTAACCTTGGTAGAGTACAGGCCAACTTCTTCTTGCAAAGCTCAGCACAAAATAACACATCTTTCAAAGTATTCCAAGTTTGTTCACCTACAAAAAGCCTTTAAAAAGCCTATTCTCCAATATTTGGTAAGTGCACACAAATGATAAGCATTGATGTTTGGTTTTCTGTGTTGGTGAATGCGTCATCAAAATCAAGTGATAATAAGGCTTTGAAGTGGTACATTTCCATGTCGTAGGGACTATGGAGTTTCTGATTGGTCATCATGTCAACATGATATCCTTCATATTATAAATGAATTGTTAAAGGTAAGGAAGTCAACATAGATTTGCAGAGGAACTACATTTTCTCCGGAAATATAATACTGATCACATTTGCAATTTTTTTTACAGGGTAAATAAAGATATGATTTAATACAAGTTTTAAAAATTGTTATTACCGGTAAGCATGTCTCATGAATTTCCTCATTTAAAAAAATCTATTTAATTCTATTCTGGTACTAAATTATAATTTGTTTTAAATTAAATTTTCAGAAAGAGCTTGTTAATAAATGTGACCACCTGCAGCACAAGATCATTTTGACACAAACGGAAATTTTGCTCTTTTTGTTAAATTGTCAGTGCTTTTTAAAGGTGGCATGACTGGCAAACGTAATGGTTGCTATGGTAACCATGGTTACCTATTAACAGCTAGCAACTATGCAAGGTTTCTTCATTTCCTGTGTGTTAGTGGTCTTGCACAGTCAGGAGCTTTGATGTTTATTGATTCTCAGCAATTTAATAGGAAGTGGCATAGTGCCGTTCTGATTATTTAATTCCTCTCTCAAACACTTGTGTGAATTCATTCTTAGGATCAGAAAGGAACATTTGTATCTTAAGTATGATGGTGGTGGTTATTCTATGGTTATTCTGTATAGTAAGTTATTGTACCGAAGAGGCTACCTCTATTAAGTCCAAACAAAGGTCCAATCATGAATTTCTTTTCATTCGCAAGACTGGTTTATTAATATAGAAATTAGGATACTACATTCTTACTCTTCGTGCTTGTAGTTCGTTGGGTTTTAATGTTATGAATAATTTCAATAACCTTTCTCCTTAATTCTTTGGGATTCTTTGTACTTTGTTTTTCAGGGTTCACCTGCCTTTAATTCAATGAAATTCTCAGTTAATCTATAATTCAGTTAAAAGGGAGGTCAGTTGTGTACTTGTGTTATCAATGTATTGTATAGTATGTTTAAACATTGCTGTACTACTTATCATTAAGCCCAACATATTGTATATTTATTCTCTCATCATTAAACCTGTGATGCTTGAACTTTATCTGGATATCCCAATTTAGACAAAGAGTGCAATATCCAGAGATTTTACATTTTTTGTGTCAAATACTTGACAGGAAGAGTCTTAATCCACAGCTACCTAATGGCTTAAACAGTGCTGTATTATATAGAGTACCCGGTAAGATAGCTTGCATTATTTATCATAGCCTTCTTTCTGTGTTATGATATACATGTACATTTGAATGATTTTAGTTCATACCAGTAGAAAGTATTTGATGGGGTTTTCATCATTATCTTCATTTTAAGGACACTGGTAAAATGTTCATTGTTGTCTTCTTTATTATAGCTGTGGTACAATTGTCATCATTATTTTCTTTCTAACGACTCATGAAAGAAGGTTTGTTGACCATGTGGATATTTCTGGGAGGGGGGGGGGGGGGGGGGGGGGGGGGGGGCTTGAAGTATTCAAAATGTGAATTTTGGGGTCTTTTATTTCTAATCAAGTTTGTTATAATAATCTTCTGTTAGGGCAAAAAAGTTTTCTCTCTATGAATCTGGTGTAAATCCTTTTAATCTGCAAATTTTTATCTGTCTTTTATAGCCCCACATGTATCATATTTAATTATAAGACTTTAGGAAGATCAGAAGAGAAACAATTATCAATTTTTAACATTCTCTCTGATTTGTGTATTTCAAGAATTTATAAAAATTCAATTGACATTTACATCTATCCTTTTTATTTAACGTCTATGTCGGTACTCTCTAGTAACCTGTGTGTTGTGCATATGTGTACTTCAATTTCCATCTATTTATTTGCCATAACTTGTATTTAAAACCTTTTGTACCTTGTTAGTTTTAAGATATTCCTCTTCTCTTTTTCTCTTTATTCTTTGTCCATTGTCCCCAGTAATACTATAGTCAAAATCTTTTTGTTTGTATTCAAGCTGTGTGTACATGTATAAATGTATGTTCCGCACAACTGATTTTCGAAATGTCATTAACTAGCAATGAAGCATAATATATTCTACGTTCATTGCCATTAGATTGAAACTTGTAGTTTTGGTTTCTGAACGTAATTATGTGTCTCATAAATCATTATCTACATCGAGATGTCTTTAATGAGATTGATGATATATTACCATAGTTTATTGTGCTGGCAGTTTTAATCCATGAATAAATTGCTCTCGATTTGTCAACAGGCATTTATAGTTTGGTTTTACAGATTATCTTTTATATGTACTGTTCCTGAAGTTGTGATAACTTTCCTTGAATTAATATATTTAGTCCTTACATTTCCCTGTTATTGGAAGGCATTTCTATTTATAATAACTATTTGTAATAGAGAGAAAGATGGCGCCCTACTAAGTCAAACCGTATTTTTTCTCATCGTGGAAAATTTCTGTGAGATAATTTAAAAATGAGTGGAAAGAAAAGACAGATGGACAAAATGGACGTTTCACCAAGGATTTCCCAATACTTCACCCCTTCTGGCTCAATTTCAGGCAGAACAGAGATGGATATCGATGAAAACTCGGACATTCAACTTGAAAATCTCACTCAGCAGTCAGTGCTTACTGGAACCAGCGAAGCAGGCCAGGACTCGCAGGAGTCGCACCCCCAAGCTGTCGGGGGGAAGGAGAAGGAAAAAGACGAAGACGAACCGCGGGCAGAGAAGAAGCGAAAGATCAATGGAGATCAAAAGGTGCAGGCAAGTACAACCACTGAAGATTTACTAGCAAAGCTTCTTGACAGAATGGATCAAATGAACTCAAAATTCAATGACATAGTGGCCAGATTAGACTTATCCCTTACTCAGATTGATAACAATAAGAGAGAGATAGAAGAAGTGAAGGAAAAGCAAGAAGGGATTGAGTTTGACATTGGTTCAATCAAAGAGAAATTGCACGCACAAGAAAAGGAGAATGAGAAGTTGCGCGAACGTCTGACAGACCTATCCGCCAGGGGAATGAGAAACACACTTGTGTTCCAAGGCTTTCCAGAGGGTGCTGAGAACAAGAATTGTGAAAATTTGATCCAGTCATTTGCCAAGTCACATTTGCAGATTGAAGCTGAAGTAATCATCGAAAGGGCACATCGCAGCGGAAGCACCTCATCACCTCGACCAAGGCCGATTATTGCAGCCTTTAATCGGTACTCGACCAAAAGTATGATCCTGGTAAATGCACGTCGCTTCTTGAAGGAGAAACCCTTTGAGCACAATGGAAAGCATCCTATTTACGTGGATGAAATGTTGCCCAAGGAAATTCGTGAACAACGGAAGAAGCTGATTCACATCAAGAAGAAGCTGAAAGAGGAAAATACAAGGAGAGCAGTGTACTTCAAGTATCCTGCTCGCATCTTCTACAAAGAAGGAAAAGACGGGAAGGAGAAAGAATACAAGATGAAATAACTCAAAACGTCAAAGGAAAGAAAATATTATCATTCCACATCGAAATGCTGGAAACATTAAAAAAACAAAAACATGAATAATGTTATAGAGCTGGATTTACCTTGCCTACTTAAAAACAAGAAGAAAAGTGAAAAAGGAATACTTAGATTAGGTTAATGACAAGAACTTAACTCTGAGAGTGAACTTTTATAGGTGAATATGTGGAAAAAGCACTCAAAGGATAAAAGGAAAGACCACGATGTAGAGCGCCACCTTGATCTCCCTAAGGCATACAGAAGAACTAGCCTTTGTTATGATTTGTTTTTTGTTTTGTTTGTTTGTTGAACCTGAATGTTTAATATATGTTAAACCTGATCTTATAATGGTGGTATTTCTAAGTAATTCATATCTCAACTATGGATTTGAAGCTGATGACACATAATGTTAACGGATTGGGGGACTTTAAAGCAAGGAAACGTTATTTTAATTATATGCTTAAACAGAACAAAGATATTATCCTTTTACAGGAAACTCATTCTGTAGAAAAGGAAGAATCATTATGGAGAAATCAAGTTAGATCTGATATTATTTTCAGTCATGGAACTTCTAAGAGCAGAGGAGTATGCATTATATTAAGAAAGACACCCGATTTTAAATTGTTAGACTCCATTAAAGATATAATGGGACGATTTTTATTGGTAAAAGTTGAAATTCAGAAGAAAGTTTATGTGATATGCAACATATATGCACCAAATAATGAGAAGGATCAGGTTGAATTTTTTAAGAAGGTAGAATTGACCATACAAGATAACGTTGAAAATGAGGAAATTCTAATAATTGGTGGGGACTTTAATTTAATTCAAAACCTTGATCTGGACAGGGCAGGTGGCTCAATGAAAAGCATTTGGAAGCACTCTGTGAATCTTATAGAAAATCTGAAAATATATTTTGGTTTGGTTGATGTTTGGAGAATCAGAAACCCCTGCAAAAAAGGATTTACATGGAGAAGGTATAACCCACTGGTGCAATCTAGATTGGATTTTTGGTTAATCCATGAATCCTTACAGAATACAATTAGTGAAAATGATATCATACCGTGTGTTTTGTCTGATCATGATCATGTTAGTTTGCACATGAAAATTAAGACAAAAAATTCTGGTCCGTCCTACTGGAAATTTAACAATAGTCTATTGAATGATGTGGAGTATGTTAATGCTTTAGCTAATAAATACTCAGAATGGATTGGTGAGTGTACAGATAGTAATGATAAAGGAGGGCTATGGGATTGGTTAAAGTTTAAAATTAGGGAATTTACTGTACCATTTTCTAAGAAGAAGAAATGTGAAAGGGAAGAGAAAAGAAAGGCTCTTGAAAAAGAATTGAAAAAATTAGATGACAGGATGGCAGCAGAAGACATAGATGATGAATTAATGAAAAAGAAAAGGGAAATAGAACAGGAGTTGTTTAAAATATATGACTATTTTGCAGATGGGGCAATCTTGAGGTCAAGGTGTACATGGTATGAGAAAGGGGAAAAGAGTACTAAATATTTTTTGTCATTGGAAAAAGGTCAAGCAGCAAATTCCAATATTGATGTTTTGATTTCAGATGTAGGACGTATTGATAAACAGTCTGAAATACAGGATTTCATTAAGAAATCATATAAAACTTTGTTTGAGAACAAAGATAAGGTGGAAGATGAAGTGAGCAAAGATTACATAAGTCAGAGTAACATCAAGCAACTCACAGACGAAGAAAGAAATTCATGTGAAGGAAATATCACTTGCTCTGAAGCTAGGGCAGAATTGTTAAAAATGGCTAGAAATAAAACACCTGGGAACGATGGGTTAACTGTGGAGTTTTATGAGATGTTTTGGCCTTTGATATCAAAAGAAGTTATTGATTCTTTCAATTTTGCATATGAAAATAGTGTAATGTCTGTGTCACAAAGACAAGGTACAATTAAACTCATCCCTAAGCCTGATAGAGATAAACACACACTGAGCAATTGGCGTCCCATAACTCTTTTAAATGTAGATGTTAAAATACTTTCTAAATGCTTGGCAAAGAGAGTTGCTAAGGTGATAGGAAAGTTAGTAGATAGTCAACAAACTGCCTTTATTAAAGGCAGATACATAGGGGAAGGAATAAGATTAATATCAGACCTCTTACAATATACTAAGGAGGAGAATTTGAGAGGTATTATGCTAGCCCTTGATCTATCAAAAGCATTTGATTCAATAAGCCACAGGTACATGCTAAATTGTTTAGAAGCATTCAATTTTGGACCATATTTCATACAATGGGTTAGAACATTGCACACTAATATAAGTAGTTGTGTATTGGTGAATGGATTTACCACTGGATATTTTCCAGTGTCTAGAGGAGTCAGACAAGGTGATCCTCTGGCTCCTTTACTGTTTATACTGAGCTTGGAAGTTGTTCTTACAAGACTTAATAATAATGATAATATTCAGGCTTTTGAATTTAGTGGAAAACAAATAAAGTATACAGCATATGCTGATGACATAACTTGCTTTTGTAGGAATATACAATCAATGAAGATGGTTTTCAAAGTTTTTGAAGAATTCTCAATCATATCAGGTCTTTATTTGAATAAAACAAAAACGGAAGGTATATGGGTTGGGAAAGATAGGCACAATGGAGAAAAAACAAATGATATACATTGGGCAGACAAAAGCATAAGAATTTTAGGCATTCATTTCTCATATGATCAGGAAGTAGTCAGGAAACTGAACTTTGATAAGAGACTGGATGAAATAAAATGTACTTTTTTAAGATGGAAGAATCGGGGGTTAACTTTAATAGGAAAAATTCAACTGTTGAAAACATTTGTTATGTCTAAGATTATGTATATTGTTTCCAATATTGAAATACCCGATGATTTTGTTAAGGAGGTTGAAAAGTTGATGTTTCAGTTTATATGGAAAGGTCCAGATAAGATATCACGGGCAACAATGATTGCAGATTATACTGAAGGTGGTCTTAAATTCCCGAAACTAAAATGCATGATAGAGACACAGCTGGTTAAGTGGATTCAGAGATATTATACAGAATCAGATCATCATTGGAAGTTGTTCTTTGACCACTATAGTAAACGATTTGGTGGAAAATTGATTTTTATGAGTAATTATTCTATGAACCAGTTGAATTGTCTTGGAATTCCCATATTTTATCATAACTTGTTGTTAGCATGGTCCAAGACAAAGGAGTATAATCAATTTGTTGATGATCAAGGAGCCCAAGCAAGTGTACTTAGTCAAATTGTTTGGAACAATCAATATATTCTTATTGATAATAAATCAGTTTACTGTAAGGCCTTTCATGAGGCAGGTCTATGTTATGTATATCAACTTTTTGATCTACATGGAAACATTGTTCAATTTAATCTTTGGAAAGCAAGAGGAGTACCAGGTAAATACTACATGATATATTTGGCAATAGTATCGCTAGTCAGGAAGAAATGGGGAAGTTCATTTAATCAATTATTGATAAAAATGTTCTTGGAGAAAATAGATTTTGAACATGATCAGTCTGACCTTTTGACAGTAGAAATTCAAAAACTAAAAACTAGAAATATTTATGTTGATTTAGTTAGTAAATTGACATGTAGACCTGTCTGTGAACCCCTATTTTCCACTAAATATGGGATAGAAGAGGAGGAATGGCCACAAATGTATCTACTCCCATTTAAATGCACAATAGAAGTTAAGATGAGAGTCTTCCAGTTTAAAATTTTGCATAATATTCTATATACCAATGAGAGACTATTTAAAATGAAGCAAGTTCAGA